ACAGCCCCCGGCGATGAGGATGCCTCTGGGGAGGTGAAGAGGGAAGAGCCCCCCGTGCCCCCCGACTTGGCCACCCGCAGCCCCTGGCCATCACCCACTGCCCCCCACCCATGGGTGCCGGAGGTGCCTGAGTCCCCGAGCGCGGGGCCGCTCTTCGAGCCCTCCGTGGCGGCTTTGCTGCGGGGGCCGGGGGGGTCCCCGCTGCTGGATGCTGACAGCGGGAGCGGCGAGGAGCCAGGGCTGGAGGAGCGGGAGCTGCTGGCCTGGGCGAGCACTGGCAACGCCAGCCAGCACGGTGAGCGCAGCGCTGCGGCGTCGGGGTGCTGCGGGCACCTGGAGCTGATGGGCACAGGGAGAAGCGGGCTGGGAGGAGGACCTCGAGGTTGACCCCCCAGGCTGGCGCAGCGTGGTGCCGACCCACGGGGTTGGTTTTAAGGCAAAGGTTTGGGCTGAGGTTTCTCCTTTTACCCAAACCAATTTACTCACCGGGGAGTTTCCACCAACTGTGATGGGCTGGGAGCGGGTCCTGGGTGTTTCAAAGGGAGCTGAGTTATTAACGTGAGCTGGGCAAGCATCCTGTTCCATATTTGCAGTTGCTATAACAATAATGTAATAATAATAGCTGGAGAGGTGGCTGCTGGCGGGGGATGCGTGGCACGTGTTGCCTGGCCTTGGCTGGCACAAAGGCAACAAATATATTTAAAGAGTAGAGCCACGGCCAGGCGGAAAAGGCACCGCAGTTAACGTCTGGCAGCCGGCAGTGCCGGGGCAGATCCAGGCCCTGCGTTGCAGTAGGAAGGGGGTGGGTGCCGCGGTGTGTCCCCCCCCCCCGGCTCAGGGCGCCCGCTCCCACCCCACAGCTCCGGCTGACCCCTGCCAGAACAACCCCTGCCTGCACGGCGGGACCTGCCACGCCAACGGCACCGTCTGCGGCTGCAGCTGCGCGCCGGGCTTCACCGGGGAGAACTGCGAGATCGGTGAGCGGCCAGAGCCTCCCGCCGTGCCGGGGCAGGATCCATTCCTGCCTGCATGTGCCTCCCCGGCATGGCATGGAGCAGCGGCCATGCTTGGAAGCGGGGAGGGGAATGGAGCTGCGGCTCTAAATCCTGCTCGATGCCCCCATCCTCGGTCACCGCTGGTGCCGGTGCTGGCGGAGGGGCCGGTGGGCTGGGTGAGTGGCGGCGGGGCGTCTCTGTACGCCCGCAGCTCCCGGCGTGTCCCCACAGACATCGACGACTGCCTGTCCCGCCCATGCCAGAACGCGTG